AGAGGACAGGGAGAGGGAAGAGAGGCGGAGAAAAGACCCTAATAATTTGTTTAAGAGGCCACCAGGGGTCAGAAGACATCGGCAGGAAGAACGGAAAAAAGAGATCCCTGGTGGCCATGGCGTCCGCCACATCAGTCTTGTCAATAGTGGAGGAGTGGACGCCAGCAGAAGAATAAATTCTTCAGCTGAACTCTGTAAATATATATATAAAGTTACAAGAATAAATAAATATAAATTGTAAAAGACAGGACAGATCTATTGTACATATATATATACACATGTAAATAATTATAATTGTAAATTGTATTTAATGTTGGATCAAATTGTAAATATAACATAATAATATCATGCATATATGTATGTATTTATTTATTTTATTTATGAATTAAATGATCTAGACAGATCGTCCTGTAAGTAGGTGACTCCTATGTGAATTTATATACTATGCGAGGGCGCATTTGTTTTTCTTAGGGGAAGTTGAAGGATAATAGGGTATCATTACATTGTTCTTAAAACGTACTGATCATTACGTCATTCCTGCACGTAACTGTCGAATCGAATGTCCATCATACTCCAGTAGAGTCCTAGGTTAGATTATGACTTTAGGAAGCGATTGTACATCCTTAAACTATTTCTCGGGCATATAGAGATTACTTTTATTACCTTACTGTCAGAATATGATATGTGCGTAAGCTCTATAGTTATGAATCGTCAAAACAGCGTAGGGATAGACAGGTTGTTTTATGGGTGCCGCCATCCTTGTTTCACCGAATCTCACTTGGTCACAATGGTCACTGCAGCGGTGCATTTCGATTGTGACGTCATTGTAATTAGGTATAAAAGGAAGACGCCACGTAAAACTGCCTCGCACTGTTCCAGGAAGCATAAGCAGCTTTTCAACTGTATATATGTATATATGTTAAATATATTTATATATTATTAATAAATTATTATTATTTGTTGAAACACATCTTGTACGTTTCTATACTTTAAAGTCTCTAGTTGTTGTTCCAAAGTTTTGGAGTTATGGAAAAGTATAAGTTTCGCTTGGTTCAGAAACCAATGCTAAGTCTAGCCATTAGCAAACGTCAGCTAGCTAATTAATATGTAGCAAGGATATCGGGTCAGAGGTTAGCGGCGGTCCTCCCCCAGGAACTGACCAATCAGAGCAAGTACTTTATAATGACAATATGGTTGATGTTTGCTGTGAGCTAGACAGCGACATAGAAGTCTTTAATTTCAAGCGAATTACACTGAAACACAATAGTTACATATCACAAGTTAATTATCTTAAAACGTATTCCCTACATTTATCACTATTCAGCAAAATATATTCTTGGAGGAACAAGCGAACTCATTAGTGTAATGCAAATTAGGGCGGAATTTAGACATGTTTTTGTGAATTTAGACATGTTTTGTAAACAAACTCGCGCCACCAGGTTATCAAATGGGACTATAGATTCTACAGCGTTTGTTCTTTTGCATGCACAAGGGTAATACATATTTGCGACTGAGCATCGAATAGCATACTCCTCCCCTGTTTGGCGTTACGGTATATCTACTTCAGTGAGGCTTCTGCGTCCCACTTCGCTAGAAGCCAGCAAGCAAGACCTGAAACAAGGTATAGCAAACATGACTTGCAGGGTATATGCGACACTCGACGATTGAAAAGGTGGCTGAAGCATGGAACACAGCTTGCTGCGGCTACATCGCTCAACATAAACTAACTGTGATGACCCTCAGCTGCACATAGCCAAGGAGAGAAAAATGGGGTATGTTGGAAAATAACACTGAAATGTGCCATGCTGTGACTCTGTAGCACCCGAGATGAAATTGTAACAAGGAAGTGACGGGTGGAAACCTGGACCAAAACCCAACAGTACCCTAACGTCGGACTTGCCTTTGGGTCTATAAGACACACCCATTGGAAATAAGAGAGCGAGGCTGCTTATGCAGCTAACATGAACATTCCCACCCCATGCAGGAGCAGTATCCAAAGGACTTCCAACACTGTGGCTAAGGCTGTAACTGAACTTAACACTAATGATATAGCTGAAACGAAAGGTGAGTTGAAGTGAAGGCCGTTGGTAATCAGAAGAGGGTACAAAGCCATGTGAAATAAACATTGCAATGGATGGCCGATACAACTCGACGACAATAGCAAGCAGGAAGAAGCCAGGGCTATCCCAGTAGGGGGACGTGCAGTTGATGTACCTACGTCCATGCAACGTTTGCATCAACAACAATCGGCATCGCCAGCGAGTATGTAAACCGACAATGTCTCATAATCAGTGCATCATTCCAGAACAAGCTCTATGCTGGACTTTGTAGCTGGTTGAAAGGGAAGGGCGAAAAGATGTGAAATGTGGGACAAGACATTGGAAATCAGCTCGCGCCTGCAGAGTGTTGCATAAAAGTTATGCAACTACCGATGGGGAGTTCCAAGTGTGCGGTTATACTAGACAAAGCTCTGAATGTGTTGAACCCAATGTGGAAGGTAAAGACTGGCTGACCCACCCACATTTTGGCTCGGGACAGTTCCGACAATGTTACAGATTCGATTTTAACCCAGAGATGTTCCTGGCACTGCACGTACACATCAAAATGGAGGTGCTGAGTCAGGATGTGAAAGCACGGTGCAGCCTGATACCTAAAGAACTGTTGAAGGATCATGCTGGCGATCATGAAACACTTCGTAGTATGTCACCTCGAGTGCTCGAAGCAACCCTGAAGTGCTACAGCGGTGACTGCTCCAGGTGTGCCCGGGTACTCAGTTGTGTGTAACGAACAGCTGGTGGCAGCGTCCACGTTCCTCGGCTGCAAACAATAATACACATTCAAACATGGATGACAACGTGACAAAACACTTGGATTCGAAATTCCTCAAAATGGAAGCTAAGTGTGGAAGTTCGTGTGAACAAATGAAATCTGAACATTACAGACAATCTGAAAGAAACCATAAAATCCGATCCGGCGAACGCAGATCCAGGACCATGCGAGCGCAAAATCTTGCATCAACGTTCACTTCTAAACTTTTATGAAATGTGCGCCTGAAAAAAACCTCGGCATCAAAAGGGGTTAAGTCTGGTATGCTGTAGCAGTCTCAGGATTAAGACAAAAAATGATCTCAGTTTTAACCTTTGAAGACTAAAAAATGTACGTGATCTCCGATTTAAGACAAATTTTGACTTAAGATCAAAATGACAGATTTAAGCAATTTTAGACTAAAAGTCACTTACATGATCCTGGGCCAGATGAGGGATTTGCTTTTGGAGAGGAGGGAAGTGTGGGCGTGACGTTTTTAAAGGGCAAGCGTACACAAAATTAACCTTTTGTCTTGCGCTCTTTATCATAAAAAGTGTTTTATCATGTAGTTTTATACCCTATTTTGCACTCATTAACCTCATTACAAAGGTAAACAAACGTCGTCTGAAACTGTTACGTTTCTTTGATGTGTTTGTGTTTGACCCAGCCTGGTTCCAACATGTAAGTCGAATCCACACAATCACGCTTCTTCTTCGTTTTTCAAAATTCGGGACTGCTGCAGCACTATTCGACACGCATCCAGGACAGCCACGTTTCTGAAATGGCACGCGCCAATGACATCAGAACGAAGGTCAAACCAGACGAATCTATTTTTTGAAGTTAGAGAGGTGTTCCTTATTACATAACTCATTCCATTAAAGTGTTGACCATAACATAATAGAATGCCAGTACAGATATCGACACCATATCCAAATAATCACAAAGATAAGTGCAATTTGCAGCTTTGAACTCGGTTTGAAATTCGATTTTCTATATCATCCGCTCATTGTAGATCAAATATACTGAAAAGTACATGCATCATAAATCTCGCCAGTTTTGACACGCATACTAAATCATCCACTGCCTTTGCGTAATTCAAATGTCAAAATTTTACTGAGAGAATTGAATTTTAAAAGAAAAGACGTATCACTGTGATCAGCGGTAGTTTTGTTGTTGTATGATCAAATCACGTCAATGCTAGTTCTGAAACATTGTCGATGAACCGAGAATCGCTGAGAATGTTTTGGAAAATACGCAAACACAATTAACGTCAAAGTGAATTTTCAGCTCATATTATAGAGTGTTTATAGACCATTCTTAGCCAATATGCCTGGACCTCGAGAGGTCAAATCGAAAGCGAACAAAATGAGGACCAACCTTGAAAATGGCGATTCCTCGAAAAGGACATTACTGCTGTGTGCCTTGCGCTTGGAGCCGATGCCCGTAAGGATTGAACGGTATCTTTCACCATATATCCCAAGAATAAGATCAAGAAGCCAGGCAGTGGTTGACGAAAATACTGAGAGATCCTGGAAAATGATTCATAGTAAGTACAAAATAATCACGGCACATGGCACAGTCTGGATCTGCCCTGTAATGTCCAAACTGTTCACTATGCAAGGTTTTAATATTAGGGGCACATGTACAATGTGAATGTCGCACACACACAAACACACACATATTCAAAGCACACACACACACACACACACATTGTCATGTTCAAAATCAGTGATCACCCCCATAGTTCTATATGTACACAATTGACCCCCTGCCTCCCAAAACAAACTGGGAGACACCCCAACCCCACAAACACCGCACCTAAAATCATCATCAACCCCTAGTCATAACTTATGAACAGTGTATTATATTATTATTTTTTTGAAATTATGCGGACATATGGAGACACTTCTGTCATGATGGCAAAGGGAATTTTATTTGCAAATAATCTGTATCAAAGTGAAATTAGATTACTGCAAAATCAAAGTAACATTTCCAAGTACATGTATATGCAGGACACACACATGCTGCTAAAAAAATCTTAAATATGTACCTTTCAAAATTATTGCATACTGACCTGTACTTCAGGGATACAGGACACATATTACTGGACAATCTAAGTACAACAACTGAAATATATTTAGTGTTTAAAATATCCATTTCAGATGCTGCTAAGCACAAGAGTCAGAGAGCATGTCACCAGCTCAGGAACCCCCATAAAGGAATCTACCACAGTCACCATCTCAGAAACAGTAAAAGATCGATCGTATTGGGTTAATTTTGCCAACTGACATGGTTTTAAAGAATTTATTACAACTGAACTTTTGACCTATATGCTATGTTGTTTACATATAAACATATTGATTGCCCATACTGTCTAAAAATATGAAATGATGTTAGGCCTCTATTCCTTGATGTATATTTGTAATTCCAGAGATATATTTATTGTTTGTGTGGTTGAAGAGATAATAGTGATGCTTTACAATGCTTATATTACAGTGAAGCAGAGAGTGATACAGCAGCCACTGACCCCCAGTCCTACATAGAACAACTCCATCAGGAAATTACATGAACAGGAAAGTAACCCAAGGAGGTTGACAAAATAGAAAAAATTGAACAGAAAAATTGAACTTGAAAAGTTTGAAGTTTGCAAATTCATGCATGATGATAACAATTTATTGAACATTTTACAGTATTCCGTCATTTCAAACATTGGCACTGATTAGCTGTAACTTTTCATTCGTTGAATATCTTCCCAGGTTTTGTGATGTAACCTTGCCCAAACAGCACAACATTGACAGACATGAATGTAAATGAAATTGTTTCTGTGCTTTGTGTTGTGTAAATGGATGATGAAAAAAAGACAGCTGTAATACATACACATTGATGGATTTAGCTGAATAATAGAAGGTCTCCATAATGGCATAGTTGTAGATGTAACTCATTTGCTGGCTGTTTAATTAATAATTGATGAAAAAGAATTGCATTTCATCCTGTTTGAAAAGAGTTAATTAGAATCAGAAAAAAAAAAATCATTCAAAGGTAAGAGATTTAGAGAATGTGTGAGGGGAGAAAACTATGATAAATTATGAATTGATCCAGCTGTACTTGCTGCCATTCATGTGAGACTAATCTAAAAGATATATCTATCAACATAAATACTGCACTTAATATATTTTCAATTTCCATCCTCTGAAAATTGTATTTTATGCATCAGTGTTAGAAGTTGGAAGCTATTCTGAATGTGTCTATTGTTATTGGACTTTAAGACACCATTTCAGAATAAATGTTTATTAACTGCACTCCATATGTTCGTTATTTATTTAGATTAATTGTTTTGTAGTAGTGAATCCTGTTGCGTTGATCGTAATATATGTTCTCCTTAAAGGTTCTCAGTTACAGTGGTACAGAATAAACACACCAGATCTACAATAAATCAGTTTCGGGCATTATATTACACAGTATTGAAAACTGTTTCAAATTTATTCCCCTTACAGGTACCATAAGTCCATTTAGGCAAAATAATTATTCACCCCACCAATCAGTCAAGAAAGAACTTGAAAAAGTTCATCATCCAGTTTTGTCTTTGCAACTTTGTGTCCCCCTCCGTGTTGATTGAAATAAATAGTTTCTACACGATGATGTGAGCGATTCGTTGTTCCTCTGCGATCGCATCATGTGTATTTATGCGCACATCGCCATCACCAGTACGAACAACTGACAATATGCGTGAATAAAATAACCTATATATGCTCAAAAAACAGAGTCTAATGGACTGACAAACATTTTATACTGAAAACATATAAACAAATAATTGCATCCCATGAACAATACAATTGTGTGTTTTAATCCAGATGCAACTCGAGGAGCTATCTTGATCTACATATTACTTATAATCTCGATTATCCAGCTCAAGAATTAACAACAACACTACTCCCATGTGGAGAGTGGATGATTTGAATCAGGTCGCGGAAACACGTTGAGTCCTTTGGCTTTGTTCATATAAGTTCGATTAGCAAAACGTAATAGACTTCCCTTTGGTAATATTTCCACTATTGTGAGAAGCTTCCCTTCATAAATGCTGCGCAACATTGGTAAACGTTAACCTAGATATCTAGGTCATGACTTCAATCGTGATGTCGTGAAGACGAAGTACAGTAATTATTCACCCCTTCAATCCCGTGGATATGCTACAGAAACATTTTTGTAGCCCTTTCCATTTTCTGCAGTTTCTTTTGAACTACTACTGGACAGTTTCGTAATCTAACCGTTCTTTAAAGGAAATTTGAAACCAGGAAGTATACATTGAGATTAGTCGCCATTATGCGATTGTGACCTTGCCCAATTTAGCTCGTTTGGTACAGATGATATGAATATTCATGAGGCCTCATTAAGAATGGTCTATAAAATCAGGTCACATGTATGTCGGTTATGTTTCGCCCATAAAATTAATTGTATAGTTCAACACTCATCTTCCTGACACGAATCCTGAATTCCTCATACAGTTCAAAATATACTGGCAAATGGACTTTGTCCACCAATTCGAAGTGTTTCAGTGAAATCGAACGAAATATATCAGATGCCGCGCTGGGAAAGGACCACTTGTTTGCAAAATGTAAATAAAGCCAATCTCTGTAGATTTTACACTGTGTATCCGTTTGCCCTACTTGTTGCAAAGACTTGCTCATTAGTTTTAAAACATGCCATGGAAAAAGGTATCGTACCAGGCGATAGTTAAATATAAAAGGTGTATTCCAATGATTTTCTAGATTCATCACAACACATATTATAGTTTCTGAAAGCCTGACGCCAACTCACGCACGATGGACGGTGCCTCTCTTTAATTTCTGACTATTTCCCTTGGTCACAATGAAAACAAAAGAAAATAAATAACTTTCAGCAGACTGACAGAATTTTCGACTACTTTACATGTCCGCATTTATGCATATACGTTGCTTGAAACAACGAAATTTTCTTCGAAAACTCCGGCGTACTCTTCGTGTCAGTGAACACGCCATTTTGAAAAGTCGCTTCCCGATAAGGATCATACGGACGTCAACATTGTTATACATATTTTGTATTTTCACAATTTGAGGTTATGGAATGAAAATACACACGATCAATCGGTCCTGTTGCATACATTTTCTGTTCTTATGTTTCCTTCTGAATTTTCAATGGCCAAACTTTTTTCACGTGATTAATATTCAGTATTATTATCTTTTGATTTGGGACTAGACAGGAGACCAGTTTAAATCAAGTGGCACCAAGTGCACGTCATAATCAGCGTTGGCGGTAACCCTGGCCTATTTAGCTCGGCAAACAAAGGTCTCCTTATATTGGCATAACCGATTTCTATTAAAATGGTTGCTTCTGCTGCCATGGGTACACACAGGATTTTGCGAGGACCTTTCCCTTTGATTCGGGGATCGTTTGTACATTAATGTGATGTATAGTAATCAGGATGAATCTGACTATCTGTGTATTGTTATATGTTTTATCGTTTTATTGCCAAGTGTAACAGGGATTAAATCAAACATATTTTATATTTGTTTATTTGTACCAATCGGGTTTTATCATTGCATATAGATGTATATGATTGTTCAACGGCGACTACCGCTTGTTTATAATAAGTAATCCTAATTAGTTGTTTGTCTATCTTGCACCTCATGAATAATACTCTTATAGCTCAAACAGCTTATAGGGTCAGTTCATTCTTGTTTTAAGGGTAATCAGGTTATTCCATTTTCGTGTATTTACTCTATTGTCTTGATCAAAAGACTGAAGCCTGATTCTTTGTCTAAAGTGGTGATTTTGAATATCTATGTCACCGTTACTTTTAACAACTCTCAGCACCCGTCGTCATTCACTGCACTGCATCCACCGTCGCGATCAGTCCACAGGTTAGTTAAAATTATTAATTTACTAAACTAAGTCCACTGTGTATGAAATATATTAAACTTATTGATTACAACAACATACCTAAGTAATCTAATGTGTGATATAGTAAAATAGTTAGGGATTTATGGAGCATGAGCATAATGTTATGAATGGAGTCGTGGGATGAATGCGTCGTCAGATCTCATTGTAAATGGCTGTTGTATGGTTTTAATCTAAATGCATATTGTAAGATTTATCTGTAGCGATTATTGTCCGAGGTGTAATAATCAGGAAATTGTAAATATGGAAGTTATGATATTTAGATTATGTATATGTTGTCTGCATTGTGTACTCACTTTCAACAATGTTATGGTATTTATATTATTTACACTATAGGTTTAACCTTCCGAGTTTTGCTCAGTGTTCTGAGAGTTGGCGACCACCCAGGTCAAAGGCTACACTTTTGTGTCACCCATGGTATGTTTTATAGTTTCTCATCTTGATATGCAAAGATGCAAATGTTATATTGCATATGTATATATGATCAATCAATGCAGATTTAGTATGTGTTTAACTATCAGTGACAATCAACTAACAGTTGTTTGAGTATAAGCTTATGTTTATGAACCTCTTATGTAATTATATTACTGCATATCATATGTATGCATTGGTTTGATAATGATATCTTAATTGTTCTTTTGCAATATTTGATTTACCCGTGTATATATGTGAATGTGTTTGGAAATATTGACTGTATATTTTGTTGTTATTATTACAGAGTGTCACATGCCAAAGCGACACAGCGAGACAACAAATGAATATATCTCGACCCCGCCGACTTGGTCATTTTTTGACTGACCAGCACAGGCTGCAAACACGTAAGAGAAGAAGCCAGATATGCCGATCATTACCGTTGTTGTTCTGCGAGATTTTGTCAGTCATGGCGTCACGCTGCACAGAAACTTTGACAATATTTCATATAAACATATATCACATTACTGTATTGTATCTATTTTTAATTGGCTATTTCTTGCTACGATACTATTCCCATTTATGTTCTAAAAGTTGGAGCCTATGCATGCTACGAATAGACGATTTGGAGAAAATGCTACACAAAAGTTTCAATTTTTCTGCTGTCTTCGATGGAAGGATGGATAATTGAAAAGGTTTGATAGGTGTTCAAGCAACTGGGCCCATTTACACCTTTGCCCATCATAAAGGTTTTCTTCGTTGATACATGTTTACACAAAGTAGTAAAGCAGCCACAAACAATGTAACTAGAATGTATTTCTGGAATATCATTGCGAGTGATATTACTTGTACACAACAATCCTGTCTTTCGAGCACAGCATTCGTTTTCATGTCCAATATCTCTTTCGTTTCATATCACATAGACACTTGGTTTTAGTGACAAAGACCATTTCTTATTTGATTCTAAAATGTATGAGGAATCCAGTGATGCATATGTCGCAGCTGAATATGAAATATACGTAATGTAATAGGCGTCTCAATATACCGGCTTTCGCGAAACGTGATTTTGTAAACACTACCCAATGCAATATGGCAGAAAGCGCATTCAGGTGTTCGTGTTGGTATTTCCGAAAATATCCCAACCGTAAAGACATACCCAAAATTCATCGCGACAGGAATAAAAGCGTCAGTTGACTTGTTTGGAACATTTTCAGCAGCGCCTGCTACTAAACTATTTTCATCAATTAGTAA